GGAGGGGCCAGACTAACAGTGAGTCAACAGACCCTGATGGATCAGACCTGGAGCACCTCGCCATGACAACACAAACAGAGCCCCCTTCTGGAGGCAGGCTAGAGAGGGAAGCTGCACACGGGACCAAAAATCAGTCAAGTCACTAAACATTTCATTCAGCATGTTGAGTCAGCGTCTGAGACTGCAGAGCCTGTCTGTGACAGAGGTCTCAGGCTGATGCAAATACTTTGATCACAGTCATGGTAAGAGGCATCACTATCAGTTTTCAAATGCTTATTTGGTCAATCAGCCTATATATATCTACATGGACTTGACTCATGGGGCTCGGTGGGGCACAGTCCCAAAGATCAACATGGAGTCACCATCCTGTGGGCTCACCAGTCGCAGAGATACGCTTCAGGGTCGGGTGCATTGTGAGCTGCAACATTGCCCCGGACAGTTGCATGATTGATTTTGAAGAAATTGTGGTCAGTGTAAATTGTGGTCAACTTCAGCAAATACTGAAATGAAGAGACTCGGAGAACCACGGAGAAAAGTTACAGCCAGCGAGATTACTTTAATTGCAAAGTACAACTCAACAATACTCGTAGAAAACAGCGGACACAGCAGAAACAGCCCCGCTCATACAACTTCCAAAAACCTTTATACTATCTGAGTGAGCGAGCATCTGTTCGTTTGTGTGCATGTGTGTGTGCATCCATGTGCATTTGTGTCTGGGTGTGTGTATGTGTGTCTATGTGTGTGTATGCGTCGATGTGCAGACGTGCCTGGGTCTGGCACCTAACCATTCTGCCAAGTTTGATTCCTTGGAAATGATCGTACAAGAATTACTCAACATTACAAAAACAACTCCTAAAAGGAGTCCTTCCTAGTAACTCCAAAATACAACAACTGTACATAACTGTTCTCCTAAGTGTGTTGGTTCTCGGCAGAGGTAATGTGAATCTGTGGTTTACTGCTTGTCTTGTCTCATGGTTATGTCTGTTATTTGTTGGCAATAGTTGTAAATATAAGCAGTTAGGTTTACCAACAGTATATATATTCTTTACAAACAGAATAAGACTGCATGTCAGTCTGTCTTTTACCATTAGCCATTAGGTATTTTACTCCTTCTAGTTTTACCTATGACTTCATTTAATGTTTTCCATAATTTCTTACTATCTCCTTTGTACTCCTCCAGTTTACTCTGATAAGAATTTTTCTTCTGTCTATTCATTTTGGTTACAGTGTTTCTAAATGACTGGTAAGCTCGCCAGTCATGCCAATTTCCAGATGCTACAGCTACTGTTTTCAGTCTGTCTCTTTCTTTCATGGAATTTTTAAGTTCATGATCAAGCCAGGGTGTTCTGATGTTTTTCACAGAAATTTTCTTCATAGGAGCATGTTTATCACAAGCATCCATAAATAAATCCATAAACTTGCATAATGCGGTCTCTGCATTCTTAACATCCAGCACTGAGTTGCACGTGATTTTGGATATATCTTTAATAAAATCATCTTCTGAAAAGGACTAATAAATTCATTTAAAGATAATTTAAGACCCAACATAGGAAAATTTAAACCAAAAAGTAAATGCTACCATATTATGGTCACTGAAGCCCATTGGTACAGATATAATTTTAGAACATTTCTCAGGAGCATTTGTAAAACAGTGATCTATACACTTTGATGAGACCGCCCCTGCACTGTTAATGCTGATCCTTGTTGGTATATTAACCACCTGAGTTAAGTTACATACAGAAGCCACATCACCAAGTTTCTTTTTCAGCGTACAATTATCTGAAAGCCAGTCTATGCTAAAATCACCAAAACAGTAGATTTCATTTTTTGAATCAGCCACATTTTGCAGCATTGTACATACATCATCTAAATACACAATACTGGAGCCCAGAGGCCTGTAGCAGCAACAGATTAACAATGGACTTGAATGTGAAATGTGTACCTGTAGCCATAGGGCTTCCACCCCAGTCATTCTCAGGTCCTTCCTTACTTTAACAGGGATGTGACTCTGGATGGATATACACGTGCCACCACCGTATTTGTCTCTGTCTTGGCTACAAATGTGATAACCTTGTATATTTAATAGTGTATCACTTATTGAATCATCCAAGTGTGTCTCAGATATGGCCATTACATGTATATTATTTTCTTGCATAATAGAGCTCAACTCATCAACCTTATTCTTTAAATTACAAATGTTCAAGTGTGCGAGTCTTAAACCCTTTTTTGGTAGTTTAAGCATCTTTGCAAAAAGAAATAGTTAGAGATCACACACACCCGTATAACCTTAATCCAGCCTTTGCTGGGAGTTTATTTATTACAATAGTTCATTTAGCTCCTTCAAGCTCCTGATACATAATACTTTAGCCTGTTCTGGATTTCCATTCAATTTGACAAATACCTTACAATTGTGGGTCCACGTAGACTGCAGCTTTCCCTGTTTCCTCAAGAATCTGGCTTTTTTTGCAATGTCAGCGTTTCTTTTGATGAGATGCTCATTTAGATATACAACAGTGCCCTTTAGCTTTCTGCCCTGTTTGAGTAGGTGAACTTTTTTCTTTCCATTGGCAAATCTGATAATGATGACATGATTGGCTACCCTGCCTGTCTTGTTACCTACAGGAATTGTGTGACATGCTTCTATGTCATCTCTATCGATTGAGATGTTTTTCTCCTGCAGAAAGGCAGTCACTTGGGCTTCAGTTGACTCGTCATGTCTGTCCTTATCTTGTAGGTCTTCTCCCTCCACCGCTTTGGAATATGATTTTGGTTTGATTTTTAGTCCTGTCACAATAAAATCATTAATTCTTGAGTACTGCTCCAAGTCCAGCAAGCGGTTCTCTAAAGAAATAATTCTGTTCTCATGCTCCTCATTTTTCTTCTTGATTTCACTTATTTCCTTCATGAGGTTCATCAAGGTGCTCATCTTATTTGTCATGTTGGTAATGTCCTGAGACATCATGTTTACCACATTCTTCAGGTCTTGCTGCTGTGGCCTGGTGGTGGAAGCTGCTGTGGCCTGGTGGTGGAAGCTGCTGTGGCCTGGTGGTGGAAGTTGCTATGACCTGGTGGTGGAAGCTGCTATGACCTGGTGGTGGAAGCTGCTGTGGCCTGGTGGTGGAAGCTGCTATGACCTGGTGGTGGAAGTTGCTATGACCTGGTGGTGGAAGCTGCTGTGGCCTGGTGGTGGAAGCTGCTATGACCTGGTGGTGAAAGCTGCTATGGCCTGGTGGTGGAAGCTGCTATGGCCTGGTGGTGGAAGCTGCTATGGCCTGGTCGTGGCTACAGCTGAGGCTGTTGGCTAGTCTGCCACCAGGGATGACAGGTCTAGTTCCAATCCACCAAATATCACCTTTAGATTTCCCAATCCACAGCCATAAATCATCAAACACCACTTCTCATCAACCAGTAGTGAATAAAAGAAGAATTTGACAGCAGTCACAGTCTCTTGTTTATGTGATATCTTGTATGTGGTTGTGGTGTATATATTCCCTGTTCTCTCTTCCAGGAGAGAGTATCAGCCATTGCTCATCTCTCTCTCTCTCACAGTTTCTCCTCCTCATTTGAATTTGTCTATGTAATCAGGAATTGGGAATAAATCTGGTATTTCCTCCCCCCTCTGCGCCAGAAGGACTCTGCGCACCAATTGTTCAGGGGTTAGCATACTTAGCATTTGTGCTCCTTGTATGCCCGTTACAAGGTTCAGCTTCTTGTCCATCGCTCTCTCACACCATTTTTTCCGGATAGGCACGATGCAACATGTCAATAAGGAAAACAGAATTAGTACCATCAGTACAATTATCCCTGTTTTAGCCAAAACAGCTCCCCATTTTCCAAAAATTTCCTCTAACCCATCCCACTTGNAAGGAAAACAGAATTAGTACCATCAGTACAATTATCCCTGTTTTAGCCAAAACAGCTCCCCATTTTCCAAAAATTTCCTCTAACCCATCCCACTTGATTCTTTCGCTCTTACTAGCATTTTCAGTCATTTCAGATTTTAAGGCTTCAAGCTTACTCATAGCAACAGAAAATGTTCCATCAGGCTGTTATTTGAAATAAACGTACAACAGAGCGTCCCGAACATTTTACATACTCCCCCTATTTCTGCTAAAATCCGATTTAAAGCTTGCCTATTCTACCACGCCATGGCACTGGTTTCATGCACTTGCTGACCTAATTGCTTAAGAACTTCAAATGTGTAGTTGACATATCTCTGTTGGTTGTAGAAGGTTGGTTGTGATCGTACAAGAATTACTCAACATTACAAAAACAATTCTTTAAAATGAGTCCTTCCCAGTGACTCCAAAGTACAACAACTCGACAGTATTCAAAAACAACTTCTTATAAGGAGTCCTTCCTATTGCGAAATCTGACATCTGGTCAACTGTTTCTATGACCTTTTGCAACTGACATTATTTTCATATTTGATATAGAACAATACATTATCTGCCTCTACATCAGCTCTCACACATGGGAGTCCTACAGGGAGGAATCTGGTGGTCCAACAGAGTTACAGTTGAAATAAAAAACAGATAAAAATAATCAAAGACAAAAGTAAGAAATCAACACAGCTATCAGGGCATGGGGAGGAAGCAGTAGGAAGATGTTTGCCTGGCCCTGAAAATGTCCAAAACAATGCAGGGTAAACACATTTGTGGGCTTTAATGTCACTACCAACATTGGTCACATCAGGACGGGTTCTCCCTGGTGTGAACACGTTGGTGGATTTTTACGTCAAACCGTTCAATACAAGCTTTCTCACACTAGTCACAGCTGTACGGGTTCTCTCCTGCATGCCGGCATTGGTGGGTTCTCAAATTACTGCACCAGGCAAATAATCTTCCACATTGTTCACACCAGTACGGTTTCTCTCCTGTGTGAATACGTTGGTGGCTTATCAAGGTCCATCTGCGTGCAAAGGCTTTGCCACATTGATCACAGCTGTACGGTTTCTCCCCTGTGTGAATACGTTGGTGGGTTTTTAAGGTCCCTGACAATGCAAAGGCTTTGCCACATTGATCACAGCTATACCGTTTCTCTCCTGTGTGAATACGTTGGTGGGTTTCTAAGGTCCATGGCTTTGCAAAGGCTTTGTCACATTGATCACAGCTGTACAGTTTCTCTCCTGTGTGAATACGCTGGTGGAATTTTAAGGCCCCTGACTGTGCAAAGGCTTTGCCACACAGACCACACCTATACAGTTTCTCTCCCGTGTGACTGCGTTGATGGGCTTTCAAGTATTCTGATCGTGTGTAAGCTTTGCCACATTCATCACACTTGTATGGTTTCTCTCCTGTGTGACTGCGTTGATGGGTTTTGAAGCGACCTGACTGTGTGAAAGTTTTGCCACACTGATCACAGCTGTACCTTTTCTCTCCTGTGTGACTGCGCTGATGGGCTTTCAAGTTACCTAATTGTGTGAAAGCTTTGCCATTTTGATCACAGCTGTATGGTTTCTCTCCTGTGTGAATTCTTTGGTGAGTTTCAAGGGATGCGCGTTGCGAAAACGTTTTCCCACATTGGTCACAGCAGTGCAACTTCTGTGCAGTGTGAACACAGTGGTGACTTTTTAAGCTACGTAGAGTGGTGAAAGCTTTCTCACATTGATCACAGCTAAACAGTTTCTCTGCTGTGTCAATGTCTTGTTTTTTTGAGCTCCCTGACTCTGTGAAATCCTTCCCACTTTGGAAAAAACTGGACAGTTCCCCTTCAATATGAAAGCGTTGTTGGGCTTTGAGGGCACTGCAGTGCAAAAATGTTTTCTCACATTGGTCGCAGCTGTATGGTTTCTCTCCAGTTTGAACTCTTTGATGAATTTTTAAAGATCCAGATGTTGTGAAGGATTTGTCACGGTGGTGACGTATAAGTTCCTCTCTTCCTCTCTGTTCCTATAGCAACAAACAGAAAAGAGTTAATGAGTTGTCACGGTGCAGCCAGCCAACTAAAACCATAAATAACATTAAAAGCATGTCTGCCAAACATAACCCACAATGTCTGACTAATGCATTACCACCAACAAATGTTATGATAAATAACTTACAGAATAGATTTTATTTAGGTTTTGACTTTTTGATAGGAATTGATACCAATACTACTTATCAATGCGACTCTCACTGATACTTCTCTCCATAATTTAGTGGTTTAGTGGTTTTGGGTTGGACCTGAGATTCTTGACTTGTGCTCATGTCTCCCCCATGACTGTACAGGCTAACCGCCACACCAAAGTCTTTTCTCATTTTCTTTAAATATTTATCAGTTACTTTTCATAACCCACATAAACCATTTGTCATAAATCAGACCAGACTGCTTTCATTGACTTAACAATGGCAGCATCTACAAACCCGACACAGTGGGTGGCGCTACATGTACCTTTAAACTTGCTTTGCAAGCTGCCAATAAACACAGAGAAGAAGAACAACAACTGCAGCACGCTGTCTAGAAGGTAAAACATGTCGCAGTGTGGACGTCTTTCACAGTTTCAGAGGAAGCCAACAGGATTACACCGAGGGTCTGATGTCTGACCACCCGACAACCCCCAGATCAACAAACTCCCTGGAACCGGTGAACAGGTTATATATCCCGCTTTATAGACACAGCACTGAAGGACCATCTCCAGAGCGTTAGCACGAGCTAATTAGTTGCGGCGGCTAACATCCAACTAGGCTTGGGCGATTGGACAAATACATCGCCAATCTCCCATCGGCTGAGTCCATCACGGTTGGTTTCATTTTTGGCGATTTTTTGGGTGATTTTTGTCATTTTATTTTGCTAAATTAATGGTCTGTCTCCACAGAATTCAACTCGGTACATATAGTCCATAACAACTATGTAGAGCACAATTCAAAGTGTGTGCGTATTGGAACTGGCAGCTTCACACTGATTTCTGACGAGTCTTTCACAAAACACGTCAGTGATGGCGGAGCTGAACGTTACGGCCGGGGTGCACCGGGCACGTCAGCGGCGTGACACATCTGCAGCGTGAGTCCCGTAGCAGCTCGCATCCCTGTTAATCAATTACAGCGGCTCCACTGGCTATGGGAGCGGCACAACAACTCTCTATTTTAGGATGCTCTTCTATTTTTGTTGCGCTACGCACCCCTACGCGCACCCCTAAGAGCCGTCAGACTCTTTTTAAAATGGTGTCGGACAGTCATCTTCAGCCCGTCTTTACAGCTTATTACTCAGCAAAGATCTCAAGGTGATTTTTTTTTTTAATGAATAAGAGTATAGCCTATAGGCTGTATGTTTCAGTAAAATTTCAATTCAATAATTTTGACATTAAAGACCACAGTCAGAGGATAAGGTGCAGGTAAATTTATTCAAACAGAATAAACAGTTGGTCGGTCCACAAAAGTGACACAGTAACAGTAGCCTATGATAAATAAGTAAATATAAACAAAGGACATTGGAAAAATAAAGTGCAAAAATCACACAATCACATAAAACAATGATGTCCACTCCCTTTGCGTTGTCTTTATAATAATGCCGTTGCGGACGTGGCAATAAAAACTTAAGCTGTTATAGCTGTTCTAAAAGCCTCTTGCAGGCTTATTGCTTGAATAAATAAATACAAATAATAATAAATATAGGCTAAACAAAGAAGAATGGAAAAATAAAGTGCAAAAATCACATAAAATAATCAAGTCCCTTTGCGCTGTCTTTAACTCAGAAACACTCTGTTTTACATGTTTTTGGAGAGGAAAATGAGCATGTTAACCTTATCTGGCTTAAGCAAAGTGCGCAAGACAAATTTCCCTTAGGGGACAATAAAGTATCTATCTATCTATCTATCTATCTATCTATCTATCTATCTATCTATCTATCTAGTTAACAATGTTACCAGCCATGCTAAACACCCGCTCTGATGGCGTGCTTGTTGCCGGTATGCACAGATATTTCCGTGCCATGTTGGAAATGAGTGGACTCGCAAAGCAC